AATATACAGTGCGGATTTTTTGCACGGGCCTACTCGTTTTATAAAATAGCCAATTCAACTATTTCAGTGAGTAAATAAAAAAATAAACCGTAGACCAAGTAATGTTGGATTGATTTAACAGGTTAAAAGTCTCTAATGACAAAATGTTTATAATTCATACGTACGTTAATTTTTAATTAGAATAATTGCTTTTAGGTTTATCGAATATAAATATCACAAATAATTAAGAATTTTTAAATTTAAAGTTTCACATATTTGAGAATAGCGTGGTTTTGCTGTAATGTTTATTATGAAATGAAAATTGAAGGACAATCGAATATTTTTTAGATATCAAGTGATAAAAACAATTTAAGCAAATATATATTCTATAATGAAAGATATGTTGCTTTCTACCTCAATAGATACCTAAATAGCGTGTGGTTAATAGGTAGACTATGTAATAATTTTCAAAATAAGAAAAGAATAAACATTTTTTTTCTCTACTGTCTCATTTATTTTATCTTTTGTTCTCAGGAGCTCCCGGTCTCCGCACTAAATTCATCTAATTTTTCTTTAAAAAGAATTACATATATATCTAATCTTATTCTTGAAAAAAAAAATGTTTAGATGAATATGGAGCAACGAAAGCTCCTGAGAACAAAAGATAAAATAAATGAGACTGTAGAAAAAAAAATACAATAAAATAAATATTTATAATTCATAAAATCGTTTTTATTTGACATCTAAGATTAAAATTTGTTATAAACGTTAATCTTAAAATTTATCTATATAAAAATATTTTAAAATTCCTTTAATTGAAATCGTTGATTCAAAAATCGAATAAGATCGCTGAGCTTTGAAGATTATATATTAAATTGCGTTTTGATTAATTTTATTTATTATTTTTTTTGAAAAATATTAACTGATATTATTAAATTATTACTGATAAAGTACATATCCATACCTAGTAATCAATACTGCAGCTCGGATAGGAGCATACTGATCCGGATAGGACGGAGGGAAAAGCTTTGCATAAGCAAGGTACCAAACCCTTCGATAATGGCTGAAGATGAACTGTTACGCAAGGAACAGATTATCTCTACCCGATAATTTGGACGGCATTAGTCCCGATATATGTCATCTGTTCCGAGTAATCGTTTCGTAACATAGGTCTCCGTCTCTCTTCGTGAGCCTTCCTTTTCTCTACTTTCTTCCATCTACGCCGGTTATTACCGTGATCTGGAAAACAGCAATGGGATTTATCGGTTGGTCCTTTCATATAAACTAGCGCTGGATTAGGTTTGAGTTGTCCGGAGGAGTTGTTTAGTAGGGAATGAAAAAAAAATGTGAACCTTCAGCACAAAAAGCCAGATATTAAGAAGGTTGAATTAAATTAACATACATTAGAATGAATATCGGAAAGGGTTTATAAAAGAAGCAATTATTTTATCATTTCTGGATTATGGTAAGTAGTTAAATAATAGAAATGTGAACCAGAATAACATAATTACTTCCCTAATTATTTACTAATTATAATTCTCTTTTATCACAATTATTATTTTATAAATATATCTGAGTTTTAAAAATAAAAACGCCATTGCCGTAGTTTTCTAAAAATTTAATTGACTGTACCGGAGGTCATCGGAGAAAGGGTACGTTTACATTTTATATCCATTTTAGAACCCCTAAAACACAATCAATGAACGTATCGGAGATGTTTAATATACATTCCGTTGTACAGACCTCTTTTTATCGAATTATTAAAATCCGCCAGAAACTTTGTAAATAGCTTAATCTCATCGTAACCTACAAATATTTTATTTGCAAAAGTTCTCGTAATGGGGAGTTTTCAATCTGGAAATCGGCAAACTTTTTATATTTAGTTAGGTACTAAAAACTCATGAATGCCCATTTGCTTTTCACTTGAATCGTCAGCTATCATCACAAAATTGAAAAAAATAGGTTATATTGGGCAGTTTGGACTATATAACCTCGTTATTTTGACATTTTCACAATGGAGGTCACGCCAAACGGCCCAATATTTTTGTAGGCCAAGTTTCTTTCAGATTTTGTGATGATGTTATATCACGAATCAAGTGGAAAGCTCATGAGTGGTATTTATGAGTTTTTATTAGCACCTAATTAAATAGACAAAGTTTGCCGATCTCCACATTGAAAACGGCTCAACTCCGAAGATATTTGCAAATAAAATATTTGTAGGTTACGATGAGATAAAGCTATTAAGCTACCAAGTTACGAGCGGATGTAAATAATTTGATGAAAAGGGGTCTGTAAGCCGGACAAATTAATGCATCTAAATTTTAGCACCACAAGCGACTTACCTTTGACTTTTGTAACTATCCGTTACCAAAATGAGCTGAAATACTGTATGAAGTATTGCTTTACCTACATATTATTTTGCTTCGATATTTTGAAGTTTTGCATATCTCTCCTCTCAAACTTCTCCAAATCATCCAAATGTATGACAACTGAGTTGGTATAAAGAAGATATATAAAAATACAGAATATGCATACTATATATATCTTTAACATTTAACATATCTCACCTTAATAGCTAAAGGTACCATATTTTTGGATAGTATGTCTTCTGTCTCGAATACCCTTTGCTTTTCTCCTTTTTTATATTGTCAAATATAATGGCATTCCTCCCAAATCTTTTTTTTTAACTGAAGAAATAATTTCTTAATTTAGGGTGAAAGTAGTAGAATCGGCAAGCTCGTTTACTCCAAAATAAGGACATTGCAACTGACAATCTCCATTGTTTTTCAATTTAATAATTTTTCAGATGTTTATATAAAAAAAACAACACTACTAAAATTACAATCAATTTAAGAAAATATTTTTAATCTGAATTTCTCACGTTGTATTTCTTTAGCTTTGCAATTACCGAATAACTAAAAAATTGCCCAATAACTTTCATAGAATTCGTTATATAATGTTTTTATTTTTTTAAAAGAATGTAATAGACTATAAGACAAACCTCGAATAATCCTAACCTCATTTCGTACCATTAGAGAAGAATTAAAAACAAATTTTTTAAATACCGATATCGGAGAGATCGCCACGGTTTTATGTTAAATTAGTTGAATATTTAAAAATGAGTAAATCTACGAAAATATTTCTATATATTTTTTCTACAACTTTTAAGGGTCTTATAGATAGTTGGTATATTAGTTTACTTAATTTAGTTCCAAGTTTAATAATAAATAAAAACAATACTGATTTTATGATGAAAATGACACAAACTTCTATAAGGTATCATATTCACTAACTTCTAAGTATAAAGAAAATAATCGATGCACTAACATTATTAATAAGGAAACGAAAACAAACATTTTGAAAATATGTTTTACTTTTAAAATAAAACTAACCTTTTTTTTATCTTTCCCTTCCCCGCCTTTAAGGATATATGAGGTTTTCTCGAGCAAAAGGGTAAGGGCGGGGGATTAATGCCAGAGTTAAAAGCCTCCCTTGGAACCTAGCCCCCAGTGAGTTGCATATTACAAAATAATAATAATAAAATAAAACTAACCAATGCTGCTTGTATGAAAATCAGAACTAAATTTTACCAACAACAAAAGTTCAATAGAACTAGCTAAGCCAAAGCCCATTTTCCTTCCTAATAAACTTTATTTTAAAATATTTATTTATTGAAATTTACAACTGTACAAAGAAAATATAATTAAACCTGCTCTAAGAATAACAATCTGGTGCACGTAACACACAACTATCAGTTACCGCTCAAGTTTGAATAGAAATTCTTTTCTGGCCATGTTAGGCTATTATAAAATTTTTGAATTTCATTTTTAATCGATCTAAAGCCTGAAGCTTACAGCTGAAAAATCATAAATACCATTAAAATCGTATTTAATACATCGACGGTTGATTATGTATTGTACGATCCGTTGATTATGGATTGTACGACTATTAGCTATTAAACTTTTTCCATTGCAAAGTTCACTAAAATTTCTCTTCACACTCCATTACATAGTTTTGTGAACCACCAGAGCTTAAGTCTTTTTGTCTAAAGTGGCCTAACAATAGAAAATATATATGAACGTTTTATAGTATTTTGGATGTTATGAGCTATTGCAATACCAAGATGTCTCATGGTAATGCAAGCAGTTTATCGTTTCCGTCTTTTGTGAAGATGTATCAGATCTGTTCGATCAGGAAAATTGAAATATTTTACAAAATAATAATGTAGGATAGGATGTAACAGATTTAAGATTTATTTCTTTATATATTTATTCAATATTAGGCATTATTTAAGTTCACATAATTACTTCAAAGGCTGTGATGAATTGCAGGAACTGTAGTGCAACAGTTGATTGATTACAGTCATAAGACAAACATATATCGTCACTGTAAGTAGTGAGGACAGGGATAATAGGATGGGTCTAGTTTATCAGCTGTATAAACTATTCTAGGAAAGGAATGATGGATACGAAAAATTATTATTTATTCTATTGCCTAAGTCTGTAAGGTAGGTACGGATCAATAGGAAATATAGAGTGGGGAGGAAGTTACGGAGATTTTCCTTATATAACATCCACGATACGATGACATTGCTAACCAATGGAATGAGTTGCACGAAACCCAAGCTGATGATCAGCAATCACGTTATTTGAATCTAGTGTTTGGTAAACGCGTTTTAATTAAAATAAATTCTTTTAAAATTTTACCCATGATGGGCAACAAGGGGAAGTGATGACAGGAGAATGGACTATCCATTGGTATCATTTTTATAATTAGATAGCACTTAAAATTTAAAAGTATTTTTATAGCTAACATTTCGGCATAACGATCTGGGTCATCTTCTTGTATAGGGGACAGCTCCTATGATGGACTATGGCTGCATATCCAACAATAAATGACCATCAGTAGTTAACCACTGATAATTTCTGACATAATATCACTACAGTATAATAAGTAGAATCAGGCATCGTTATGTAGTAATTATTTATGGAACAGTCTAAGAAATAAAGAAACTCTAAGATTCACCTACGTTTGGAGCAACTCAAACCTCTCCAGTCAGCTTGTACGCTAGTAACTGCCCTATTACTAGCACTTACCTTTCGCAGTGGCGGGCGAGACCTGATGAACTCGAGGATGACTGCGTGGGCGTCCTTCTTGACCTTGTGCGGTATGTTGCCATCGACCATCACCTTGTTCAGCTTGTACCTCCTGGATCGGATGTCATCCATCAGGATCTCGTACGGTGTCAGCTCGAACTCGATCGGCTTGCGGCTGTAGCACACCTTCTTCAGCTGCACCCCTCGCCTCAACTCTCGGACAACTTGCACCCAGAGTCTCGCCTGTGGAGGAAGAAAAGATTAAGTACATATTGCAAGTAAAACATTTAAATATTTTGAATAAGAAAACAGATCGAATTTGACTATATTTGAATTATAATATAATACATATAGTTTATATGAAGTATTTCTAATCTAAAGGACTAGTGTCATGCAACTAACCCTAGTAATGTTATAAAACGAGATATTTTATTCCTTATTCATTTGCATCTAGCTTGAAAATGTGGGTTGTTAATAATTTCAATGCATCTAATTCAAAGGCCAGTTTAAACTATTTATGATCAGTTATACGAGTCTTCATGCAAATGCAAGATTTTTAAAATATGAGCCTTGAAAATCCTGAATAAAAAAGGATCTATTAAGCCTATTGAGATAAAAAACTCCTCTGTGTTGTTCTTCAACTTGGTCTTCCCTCTTCTACCGCAGCGCAGTTTGAGGTGCCTTTTGATAGAGTTTGATCTATAAATCCCGACAAAGTACCAGCTGTTTCCTTTTCTTCCCCTCCAGACATCTACTGTCAAAGACCTATTTCAACACTTCTTCCCTAGTCTTCTTGGGTCTTCCTTGTCGTTGTTTTTCTTTCTTAAATCGCTTCATTCGTACGTAGCTCCGGCTAGACGATTCTCAAACATTCGAGACACATGTCCAAAACCACCTCAAGCTCACGGTGTTCTTCCAGTATCATCTCGAGTATTGAGACTCGTTCTAATCTTATCACACAAAGTTATTAAACTTATTGTAATGATAATAACATTAATTCAATAACTAAAAGTAATTTTACAAAGAAAACAAAAAATCTGTTTCTATTGTAAAATCCTAGACATTGTTAAATAGATAACACCACACATTGCAAGTATTAACGTGTATAAAGGAGCAATAGTTATTTACAATACTTTAGAATTTTAGTGAACTGGACTTTTAGAGTATTTAATTTGTTTTATATATTTCTTTAATATTAAGGAATATTTATTTGACTAAATGATTACGATACACTTTTTTTTTTTATAATCTTGCTTATAATCTCAAAGAAGGCGTCGAAACGTCGGCAATGAATTTTCGGCCAGGATGAAATTTATTACAACATTTCAATCTCGCATTCGACCACATGTTGATTATCATATATGGTCTACATGCTCATAATAATACTCTAAACGAGGAATAGAAAAACATGCATATGTTTTAGACCAACATACTAAAATATTGCAAGCAAAACAAAAGCTATCCATGCATTAAAACCGATAATCGAACTGAAACAGAAAAAAGTTTCATGCAAACGACTCATGAAAAGAAGATAATTAGATAATTGGAAAAAATAAATATTTATAGTGGATATCATTTTACTAAATATGAATTTGCACAAACCTAAAAAAAAAAATTGAAACTTTTCAGGAAATAACTGATTTTTGAACTTGTTAAAATAAATAAAATGACTTTTCAACTAAACGGCAAAAAATAACAATCAAAAGAAAATAACAAGTCTAAGTTCACACGAACTAAATCCAATATTGCCTTATCAAGCCTTAGTGACTATGATTTGGTAACATACTTGCAGAGTTCTCCAAATCCTCATGTTCGACTGTGTACAAATAAAATTTATTAATTCTGATGTGGTATTGTCATTTAAAAAAAGGTATATACAATTCCAGAAAAATAAATAATTAAATCAATTCATGGCATTTGTCCAAAAAATCCCAAGATAAGCTTCATTATACATTATTTATGAACTTTCTATCCAGAATATATAAGTCTTGAAAATCATATGATAATGACTCAAAAGCCTTTAAATGGTTAACCTTAAATATTGTTTAAAAGTATATAAAAGAGTTCAGATTTTTTTTTTAAAACTTCTATGATATTGAAGCATGCAACATTTTTATAAAAAAAAGGAAAGTGGACATATAATTGATGAATAAACCAATCTCTTAAGTACAATGAGATTCAATAAATTTAAGATTACGACGTAAATAATAGTATAAAAATTATATCGAAAAAGGGATGCACAAGTGAAAACAATTGATTTTGAACTGGAGACGACAGAAATCCTTGATAATGATCTACAGAAATAAAAACTCCATCATAAAAGTATAAGTCTTCATCAATAATAATAACAGATTTTCAACTCTTTTAAAGAAAGACAGATGAAAATATTTGAAGCAAAATGATCTGGGGGAAAAAAAAAATGACAGATTCTACACTTTTAGAAGAGAAAGATCTTTATTTTAACACTGTACCCCGCCCTAATACAAAGGAGGAAATATAAAGAAAGTAAAACTTTAAGATGGCTTTGTTCAGTGGAATGATGGAAAGCGTTCTAACATTGTTAAAAGCGAAGTCTTCCATTCCTGAAATATACTCCAGAGCTTTTTTCTTTGAATTTTTTCTTTCAGGAAAAGTTTTTATTTAATAGGAACATTAATGGTATTTTTGTTTTATACGATCGTAGATAGTAAAATTCATGTGAAAACATTATGTTCTAATCACATGAAGTGTACATAAGTGAATATACCACTGACACTGCAGGAACAACGAATTAATAACGACAAAAATAAATCATACTAAACATTTGTTTGTGTCTATTTTATATTATAGACTTATTACTTAACTGTTTAATTCTACAAGATGTGTTTTTATAAATAAATGTATTTATCTAGAAAATGCGTAAGAGAAATACGCAATTTTTCGATCTGACTAGCTCTTATAATGGAAAACTGTTTCATGAGATGCAAGGAACTGATTGAATACTAAATATTGTAAGTAAACAGATTACATAACTCGATAATTTGTATTGATGTTGGAGTACGAATACATTAAATATTAAACTTTTTAATCTCAGTGAATCCCTTTAGTTTCCAGAACAAATCTTATTGTTAAGAGATCGTAAGAAGCAGCTAACTCACAAGACAAAGATAAACTTAAGATAAGACTGTACCTTGTGCTATATAAAAGTTATATTTATATTTCTTAGATATATTTTAAATTAGATATATAATTTAAGTGATTGCAATACTATAGCAAAATATGTGTAAGACGAAAAATTGTTATATTTTTCTGCAAAGATTATCGGTCTGCAACTAATATAAAATCCCATATAAATATAAAGCCATTGGCACACATTGAAACAAGTTATCATAAGGAATCAACTTCTCTTTGAAATAATCATCATATTTATTTTTACACAATAATCCTAATTAGATAGTTGAATTTTTTTTTTTTAAATTGGCATTTTAAGTTTTTGTGAATCTTTTTAGGAAATAAATTAAATAAACTATTCTGAGGCACTTTTCTAAAAAATTTGTATGTTTAAGGTAGGTAAAAGTTTAACTTTCAATTACTTAAGTCCTTAAAAAATAAATTACGTCGATGGAAAATAATAACAGTTATTGACCATAATTAAGAGTGATTATTTATCTTAAACGAGTCACTTGATTATAATATGTTGTTTGGTTTATTATCTAAGAAATAAGCCATGTTTTGGATCTACTTTTATTGTGTTTTAAAGGTACATACAACTTTATTAGAATGTTTACAGTGTATATCTCAAAGGACTGAATTAAGTTGTCTATTTTATATTATAGACTTATTACTTAACTGTTTAATTCTACAAGACGTGTTTTTATAAATAAATGTATTTATCTAGAAAATGCGTAAGAGAAATACGCAATAGAGAAAAGTTATAACAACGATGGACAAAAAAAAACATACTATGCTAGATACTACTTTCTCAATTAAAGTGAAAATGTCTATATTGACAAATATCTATATAAAGATAAATAATTAAATTCGTATGTCGTTTGGTTTATAAGGATTTATAAAATATGGAAGCTAAGAATATGAGCCATGGCTTAGATCGACTTTTTGACGTAATCAACAGAACTTTAAAATAAAAGCTTTTTAAAAATAAATGTTCTGTAAAATCTTTATTACTTGAGAAATTGATAGAAAATGTTCTAGTGCTGACATAAAAGGAAAAAAAAGAAAAGATTCCAGTACCTAAAACCGAAACTGAGAAAAAACAAAAGTTAAAATTTGTTTATTATTATTTTATTGTAATGTTCAGAATGCATATCTCAAAGAACTGAATAATGTTGTCTACTTTAACTGTACCATAGACTTATTACTAAACTACCTAATTCTACTAAACTTGTTTTTATAAATAAATGTATTTATCTAGAATATGCCTAATAGAAATACGCGATAGAGAATAGTTAAAGTAATGATAAAAAAAACGATATTAAGTAATATTCTTAATAATGAAGGTATTTCAATAAATAAAATAATAATTAAATCGTTGTAAAATTTTTTAGCATCCTATATAAACAATTAAATAAAAATAAATAAGTAAACTGGTACCATTACAAACCATGAAGGGTCTGTACTTTGGCAGCTTAGAAGTACTTCTTTTTATTTTTACCGACTACCAGAGTAACCCAGGAGGTTTCATGGCGCGAATAACAGCATCAAAATTTTTGAGAGGGGCACATTTTTCGTATAGCCTAACAGACGAGGTAGGAGATGGAACTTACGATGAATAGTGTATCTGTATACATGGTCTACGAATTTTTAAATTATTCTTACACTTGTATTATTTTTGAAGATGAGAGCAATAATATATCTTCGGCGAAGAGGTGGGGCATGCGCCGTCGACCTAGGGGAAATGGGCAGCTCTGCCGACTGCTACAGATTTGATGGGGATCAACCTCCACACTTAATCGTCAGGTTCCTTCGCAAACTCAATTTATAGTAATATAAGACGAGGTTATCACTTTATAAGGCTTCTCTAGATCATCATCGGAGCCAGACTCCAGTGACTAAGCTACTCATGCGATAGATGTCCATCTTTTGCATGGATAACTAGTTGTTATAATGCTTCTATCGTAGGGCAGAAAAATCTTTACATGTTTATTTGCAGAAGACAAAATTTGAATCTAATAGGCTTAGATAAATAGTCGAAAAGTGTCACTCTCTCTAGAGGTCGGACTCAGTATCCGCTGAGATCGAATAGA